TTTCATTCAAGTGAGTTAAGTATTTACTACCGGCGACACTGTTTTACCGAGAGGCCAGGACCTGCGGTACACTGTTAAGTACATGCTTAGTGTTAGCTGTTTATGTTTTGTGGTTGGCAAACCTGAATTGAGGGGGTGGAATTTTAGGTGTTTTCTCATCAGCACTTAGTGATTTTAAGATCCCACACTTAAAGCAATTTAACATTCAAATAGTTCTTGTAAGTTAAAATATCTATTATTGCCGAACATTTTGTTTTCAAATATAATTTAAAAAAACAACACTTTTTCATCTGCATATTCAGCTTTCTGAAAAAAAGAACGTTGTAATGTTTTAAAATGTTGTCGTTTTCTACTTTGTACATAAAAGGTAAAAATCTATAAAAATGAATAAATAAAGAAGACATCTGATTTGTTTAACCATAGATGGACTGACAAGGGGGGTGGCACAATGCATGATATTGACAAAAAATCAATATATGCAATATGCATCATTTGCTACAGCAGTCAACATCTGTGAAAAAAATTCTTTAGTATTGTGTGTATTTGGTATAATGTGCAGACGTTGCTATTAGGAGATTAATGACCTGTGGGCTAATAAACCTGTACGAGTTTGTTTGCCTGCAGCAGATGTGTTTTTACTGTAGCTTGTCCTGGCGGAGGCACCGGAGGTGCTGGTCTTGTTGTTTGATAGAGATGTTGTACAGCATGTACGAGCAAGATTTGCCAGTAGAATTAGAAGTTTGCCGGAAACACTACAAGATTTACATTTGTCTCACCTGTCCCGTTTTAATCAGTTAATTAATTGGGCACCTGTCACACATTGACAGACAAACTGATCAAAGCCTACATACTTGTTTTCTGAACCCTCGTCATGTAATGTAAACCCCTTCATATGAGACTCTCTTAACTGAAGTACGTACTGGTCCAACATTATACTTTTTCTGATTATTTACATTTCATCAAATTTATTTGAAAGATTATAAATAACGATATCTGGTTCAATTTCAACCACAATCTGCACCATTTTATTTACCTGGAAATGATATCGGAATATTAAAAAATAACTATAAAAATTTAAGATAAAAAGTAAATTGTTCTAAACCAGTGAGATATACACATATAGGTAGTTACTTAAAAGTAGAAGTGCAACCAGTACATTGTGTAGATCATTATTTCCATTTCTTATCTTCATTATTTTCTGATGGAGGGGTGAATGAAGTAAAGGAGGATGTGCTGATTTCTGAATTTTGACAAAATTATATGTAAAATATTTGGAACAACTGCTCAATTAACTTACATTTTGAAGTGTTATAAGTAGAAATGTGATACTGTCTTTCTGAAAGCCTCTGCTGACTTGGATACATGCACAGAAGGATAAAAATAAATAGAATTGTGTGCAATACAGGTTTGATAAACTATATATATAGGGTTTCAGGGTGCACCGCTGTATCTTTGTACTCATTCTTAAAATAAATTAGCATTAAGTAGCCTGTTGGGATATAATTGGGGATAAGAATGCTCTGTTGGCTGTTGTGAGATAATGAGGGCCACTACCCTAGTACAAACTGCACCACTTGATGTAAATACTGGTGGACCGCATCCTGTGGAACTGAAGGCTCGGCTTGAGTTTCAATTGTAATTCACATCATGAATGAAGATGGTGGGAGTCTGAGCTACGCTGTTGAGGGCTGGTGTCCGCTTTCACGACAGGATCTCGATAGCATCTTACAATTGTATATATATATTATATATATATATGTATGTGGGAATACATGACCCACTGACACGATTCTCGACTACACTATGTGCCCAGCAGAACGTTGGCCTTATGTTGGCCGTATTTAGACCGGTACCTATCATTTAATTGCTAGCTCATATTTCACAAAACAAATATCAAAAAGATTTCAATTTCTTTCCGCAACCATCACATCCTGATCTCCTAATGAGTGAACTATCTTACCAAATAGCCCTTGATTGGTCGTTAACTGTTTGACTGCCCATTGACACAATAAGGTCATTTAGGGCCATCATACAAACACAGTCAACTGGTAATGTGGTCATTGACCAGGGGAGGCCTGTTCAGAACAGAAAGTGGCAAGATAGAACAAATGTAGACAATTTTAGGGGCCTCTATACTGCATTCAAAGATTTGTATTGGTCAACTATTGCAACAGGTTTAGTACAATACTGAACTGTTGATCTGGGCTGATAATTAGTTGTGTGTCGGGTATGAGGTCTGCACAAATAGAGAATTTCTTCTTTGGTTTAATCATGAATTAACAGTTTTATTTCACAAGTAAATATAGTGATATTTTTCACAGGTGTGTAACACGAGTGGATAGTTTAAAAATGATATCGACCCCGGAGTAAAATGTTACTTATATTATTAAAAAAAGAAAAAAAGAAAAAAAATCACGTTTTTTTTCTATATGAAGACATTAGCTTCCATGAACATGCTCTATCTGCCAAAGCAAGGTGTAAAGGAATGCTGTGTTATGACATCACAATTTGTGAAATAATAAAACTTTCGAAATATCACACTCACAGCAGAAAATATCAACGTGGTTTCCCTTTCAAATCTTTTATTTCACTTGTCCAAATGTATTATCATGGTTCCTATAAGGGGCAATCATATACTTTGGTTTAGGCTACGATTGCTGTTTCTTAGCAACGGTTCAAGATGCTAATGTTTAGAACCCAAATCTTCAAATAATAGTGCAGTATTACTGTTTAAATCTTAAAGAACTTAGTAATTATTAAAAGAATCTTTGCAGTGTACCAGATACTGGCCGTAGGTCGGTGCTTTTTCTCCACCACCACCACCACCACCACCACCGCCACCTTAAATGATCATAGCTGTTAATAGGACGTAAAACACTAACAAACCAAAACCAAAGCACTGTACCAGTTTGTCTGATGGAGTTGATGTGCTAGCTCTCCAAAGCCTGATCAACTAATATGAAATGATGTGTCTGCTCTTTAAATTGTGCATACACCACATACATATTCTACAGAGTGGCTGATGTTTTTTTCTAGTGTGTATGTACATACATAGGTGTTTTATCTCGTTAACATCTTATCAAGTGTCCGAGATTTACCGGATCATTGCTCCTGTAAAGCTGCTACATACACACACCAGGTATAGGATGTCGCCTCGAGACGGTGTCACACAAACCCTAAATACCCTGTTAGTAAACAATACCAGACAATTTAAATGTTTGCTGCTTTTATTTAATTACCAACAATGTCTGGGCCAATGTTTCCAATCAAAGAATCTCTTGAGCACATCTCTCAATGTGACTGCCTATCTCTTTGCACGGCTAGATGACGATATATGTTTGTATATTTTATTAAACTGGTATACAGGTGGCAAAGTTTGAAATGTACTTACATATTTAGAATCTTGCATGAGCTTCTATCTCATATGAGATTTATGAAATAACGAGTTGAAAATTAAGGAAAGAAATGTGATCTCACATGACATGAAACAAGTTTAAGATTCATTACTATCACAGAACAAAATTTGTTAGGAATGTTGTGAGGAAAAAACTGCTTCAAACCTCAGCTATCGATTGTCTTTATAATATTATTTGAAAGTCAGCTCATTATAATTTTTATATTGTCACAATAAGTCATATTGTTATGCTCATATACCCCAAACATATGACGTGGGTGTATTCTCTGGATAATATGTTAATCGTGTTGTAAATGTGATTTGTCATATAGTTCAGAAAACAGGAATACAATTCATCTTTCCATTGTTTATGATCAGAAAGGAAGAGTGACTGTTCCAACAATTAAACTACACAATGTAATTGTTAAAGAGTATGTTTGTGATAACTTTTATAATGAATTAATTTGCTGACGTTTCATTCGGCACTAATGGGGTTAAATACCGCTATAATTTCAATTTGATTGATTGAAAGCTACAAATATACAGTCTCGTAAAATAACTGTGAAAAGCATTTGTCATCGTGAACAGAAAATTACACTGACATTGTTTTCTTACCGTTATATATGAAGTTTATTTGTATTCCAGCGATCAATCATAATGAAGAACATAAAAGTATATCTTTAGGATGTATATATACATATATTTGTATATGGGGCAAATAAGTAACTCCAACAGTGTAGACAGTATGAGGTTGTCAAATTTTTGGAGCAATTCGCTCCTTTGCCTGCTCGGAAAATTTGACAACCACTTCTTTGCCCCATATACCAATTCAAGTAATTTGTATCCTTCAAACATACTTTTGTAACGATTCAGTGTTATATGGGAATTTACCATTGATATTACTTCTTTGACCCATACATATATATATGTAGTGCTGGAATTCTACAGACTTTCAGTATGGAGATTGTTTTTAGCATTGCTGATCGAGACAATTGCTTTGTTTGATTAATAATGCAACCTTTCAATTGATGCCTGGCTCCATTGGACACAGGTGCTTTCCTCATTGGCACTACTGTCTTGGAACAAGGGGATGGTGACTTGGCATTGCTTTCACTTGGGCACCGATGAAAACAAACATTTGTCCTTTAACGGTTATGTCTCTATGTTGAATATTGTACGTCAGTATGACTTTCAATATATGACTGTTCTTTGGCCCAGAATGACTTCAATACAAATGGTTAAAGTGACCAGAATGACCAACACTGTAACTATTTAAGCCTTCTACAATTTAACCTTGAATTTATGATGGCTCTTGTGACAATATGTATGGTACGATATTGTTTTGACCTTGTATGACCTTCAGTGTTTGTCTGATGTTTGCATTCTGGTGTTTTTGTAATGTGATATATATTGATACTTTTGTATAATCATTGTTCTTACTTAGCAACTACCTGTTCATAATCATAAACCACTGTGAAAGATTATCCGTGATGTCATATGATATAGTGAAATAGACGTCTAAATATACATGTGTGCATAATGCAACTCAGTCAGTTCATCATGACAGCAGTAAAATTAGCTTTAACCAACTTTTCTCTCACCACAGAGCAATGGCATGATGGAGAAGGGAGGCGACCACGAAGGTGTCATCAATCTGTCCACTGTGACCAAAGAAGGGCCGTCCCCGCTGACACACAATGGCGACACTCACTCCACAGAGAACGGGCACGTAGAATCTCAGGTAGGCTCGGTCTCCAATATATTTTCAAATGAAAGGACACCTTTCTGTAGTTTGTGTACCAGCTAACATTTAAGAATGTAATTGCCTGATTTCTGGTTTCTATTTTCATTCTTCCCTGATATGAAATGGATAGCGTAGAGCCAAGTTACCCATGTCCATATATCATCCTGTCTTGCTGAAATCTTTCCAGTCTCACTTTAATTATGACAGAACCCTATAGATATACACATGTTCAGTAAGCAAATACTTTGAACTAGTTTATGTTTCAGGGTTCCAAGGTCAAGGTCACTTCTGCTATAAATAGAAAGTCATTATTATCACTATGTTGGCTTCATTTGCATCTGATTTGGATGAAACTTTTTACAAGCTTGAGTATTCAGTACTCAAAAAACCTGAGTAACCCAAGGTCAAGGTCATTGTTACTATAAATAGAAAAGCTTAATTATTGTTCAATATTTATTGTGATTGGACAAAATGTATAGATCAGTACACAAGTACCTTTCAACAGGTAGCATTTCAGGGTTGTAGGTCCAATTTGGAGGTCACTGTTACTATGAATGGAAAATATTTGTCATTTCTCTATGTGCTTTATTTTCCTTTTGATTTAGATAAATAAAAAATAAATCAAATAAAGAATTAAAAATGAGTTTGTGGTTAATGGAGGAGGCATCTAAAGTCAATCATGTCTGTCCAGTCCTGATTCGGTGTCATCACTCTAGAGACTTATATCTTACTTCTTCAGGGTCAACTACCACATTCACCTCATACCAAGGCCACGACAGGAAGTGGGGCTGCTAAACGTAAGACAAAGTCCAATAGCATGGTGGAACTTGGGGCGGGACTTACTCCTCCGGGGCCGCACCCCTCTCTGATGATGATGGCAGCCGCCCAGCATGGACTGATGCCCCAGCAGATGCAGCAGCTCCTCCAGCAACAGAACCAGGGTCTATCTCCTCAGCAACTACAGCAGATCATGCAGCATCAGTCAATGATGCTCCAACACCAGGTGGGTACTGCACAGGAAACATAAACTGTTATAGAACCATATAGGGGATTAACTGAGGGTACATCAATTTGAAGTTTGGTATTGGAGTGGAGGTACAGCACAGCAAGTGGTTTTTTACAGTAATTGGTGGGCATGGGGCTTCTCAGAGAAAGGGACCTGCAGAACCGGTTGTTTTTGTTGAATGCTTGGTATGAACTTTTATCAATTCCGATCACTGTTCTAAGGAAGAGCAAGATGGTTTAATGGTTCCTGTGCACCTGTCTCATATTTTGACAGAAAATTTAGAAAATGTAGATAGTTCAAAAATCTAAAATTACAAAGTGGTACATGATCGTTCAAAAATCTAAAATTACAAAGTGGTACATGATAGATCCCTTTGGAATGTAGAGTTTATTTGTGAAAGGTTTCAGTTGTGTAGTCTGTGTGGTTGTGTTATGTACATTCAGATGACAATGTGTCACGTTCATTTGACAGTTCAAGTAAAATTAAAATGAATATTAATTTTCTGGCTCAACAGGTAAAAATTAGCATTAGCTTAATAACTTATTACAAACCTTCGTTTTATGTGATTTTGTTGAATGTGATGAGGAGGGGGGGTGGAGAGGGGGGGGGGGAACATGAGGGATAACGTACCTTAGATAATCAACTTGATAACTCTTCTACTACTACGGCCAGACTCTTGTATTCCTTGTGGAATCTGTCTGCTGGGCATCACAGAACTCCACTGAACTCTTTGCACGGATATTGGATCTCGTACTCCCCGTATTATATAGTCAAGGTTATGTCCACCACAGAATTAGCATAGCTTGTGCTATATGTAGCATTAAAGGTGCAAATTAGTAACATAGGTAACGAGTCATTAAACTGTCACAAATTTTTCACCTGTCCAACAGGTATATCTTGTAATCACATAAATTAAGCTCCCGATGATGAATGTATTCATGGAAACTTTGCAGAAGTTCATATGTATATACTAGAAGAAAAAGACATTATGTAACTTTGAGCCAATGAAGGGCATTCCTTTTTTAGACTAAATTTGTAAAAAAAGAAAAAAAATGAGATTAGTGAAATGGTATTTACCTGTGAAAAAATATTAGTGTTTCCGCTAGACGAATCAGTCAGTAGGGTTGTCACACTGACCCTGACAGGTAATAAAAGGCAAGTTGTCCTTTGGCCATATAGGCTTGGTCGGTCTGCTGGTCACTAGGTCCACCAGACTATCCATCAACACTAACACATGTAAGCTGTCGTTCATATGTCTGTTTCTTCTCAGCTGATCTCCGAGGTGTTGAGTACCTGTGGACTCAAGTGATTGACACATACATCATTAAGCATCCGTGTATTGCACACACATTTTAGGTGAATTTCCTCACAGGTTTGAAAATCATGTGAAATAGATTCCCACATTTCAAATGAAATACATCAAAGGACAACACTAGAATTGTTTTTCTTATCAGTATAACAGGAAGTTATATAAATAACATGTACAAAAGAATTATCAACAATTTTCTGGTCACTTACATTTCAATTGTTTCGCTGCGGAACAATTAAATCATTGAAATTCTTACCAACTTTCAGTTTAGAATTTCCTACTTTAAATTCAATTATGTTCCACTGTTTTTTTGGAAAAAAAGAAACTATTGAGCGTCATGTGTCTGTGGTTTTCTATAATTCAATGTATCTTCAGTAAATGGGGTATTCTAATTTATTAGCTGTTCAGTCATTGTTCTTTAAGGAGTAAAAGGTATTTTAAGACAATCTTTTAGTTATTGTCCCTAAGGGGTTATACGATTGGTTTTGAGACTTTGTAAAAGTTTTCCTATTGAGGTAATGTGTTGCGAAACACTAGGTTAGAAGACATTAGGCTAGGAGTGCTAATCGTCAAGCCAGGTGTATGAGGGGTCAGACACAGGTGTGTAAATGTTTGTCTGTATGACATAACAATACAGATAGTACAGAGAACATGCACAGCAATAACATCAAGGCCCTAGGGCTATCCGACCACTGGTCACAAACACAGGGATAGGACCGCTGGTCACTAACACAGGGATAAGACCGCTGTTCACTAACACAGGGATAAGGGTAGATCATCACTTGCCCTCCAGCTATAGTCACTGTTACACTGAACACTGACACATGTGAAGTAACAGTGTTGTTGATTGCAGTTTTATTGTCCTTGTTTCCTCCTAGTCAAGCTGTTTATTGGAGTGCACATGGTCAGCATGACATTTGTAAGGTGCACATTGTCTCAATATACTGGTCATCTGCTATGTTAAGCGTATGGTTCTTATGTATACTTCTAAAGCTCGTTACATCGGTTCCCATAAACAATCGGAGAAAGCTTGGAGATAACTGCATGCAGCTCATAGTTTTTACTCTTAGTTTTTGCTGGTTATGAATGGCAATGGATCATGATTTAACATCTATGAAACAAAGATTGATAAAAATTTAACAAAAAAAATGTTAAGGAATTTGAGGAAAACAATTACATGCATTATGGGCATGGGTTATTTGCTTCTTTTATTGATATAATTAGCTATTCCTTTTCCTAGTGTTTGACATAAGGAGATAGCTCTATATATTGTCATATAGGTACATATATTCATTGATTACTACCTCAAGTGTTTCCCTCATCATGTTAAATGTGTTGCTGCTGTTTGGATATAAGTATATGTAGGTGACCGTGTTAAATTGGGTGGCTAAGATGTGACCTGCTCCAGATGTTTCCTCTGTGTTAACATTTTTATGCGCCCGAGCTTTGCAGCTGTACAATATAATGAAGACTCTTAAAGACTTTCAGGGGTTTCCTGGTGCTGTGACAACTTGCTTAATTACCGATTAACATCACATGTTATGCAGGACGGTTGTTGAAACCTGTCAGTTAAACTGCTTAAGTTTGTTTTCCGGACTGCCAACAAGACAAATAGATCCTCAAAAAATCATGTCACCTAGCTGTCGGCACTAGAGTAGAGTTTCCTACTGCATAAATTTCGGACAAATTACAATACTACTGCAATAAATGTTAGCGGGGAGTTGTAAGGTGTCGAGGGACAACGTATTTATCACACAGATGATGGACGTTAATTCCGAATGTCTTATTCAGGTTTGTTTATCCAATTAGTGCCCGAAATATCAGGTATTTAGCGACACTGAGCTTTCAATCTACATACAGCATGTTCATGGCGCTGACATGGAGCCACCTCATCACTCATAAACCAGAACACTGCTTCCCATTACTAGACATCGCCAATATCTTTTGAAAACCTGCTTAATTCTGAATAAACAAAATTATATTCTTGCGCACCAAAATTAATGCAACAGGCTGTCAGACTGTCCAAATGTATGGCGCTTGCTTTTAACATATGACTCTATGGAACTTCTCTGTGTGTATTTCCTTCTTTGTTTTTTAATAAAACTTTTGCATAATTACACGAATGAACATAATTACACGAATAAACAAAATTTATGCTCATGAAGAAACTAGTTAATGCTAATTAAAAAACCACCAGCCATTTTACCATGCTGTCGTAGAGACACTCTCATTAATCATTCTGTGCCTTTTCCCTATGAAATACAAAAACTGAATTGTATTTTTCCTTAGCTGCATAATTTTTGCCGAATTTAGGTTTTCAGTGTAAATTCGTTCCTTCTGTTTAAGTAGAAACATTTCAAGATGCATTCATTTGTTGTTATATATGTTGCATGAAATTTCAAAACAAATCGAATAGTTCTTGTATGTACATCTTGGTTTTAAATGGATGTGTAGTGCTTCACATAGATATTAATAATGTAATTATGATTTTTTTTAAACAAGAAAGTTAAATATGATTGAACAGATGTTTGAGAATCTTTTTTTCTTAATAATAACAAGCATTGATTATTGATATTAAATAAAAATAAAATGGACATTAGTGATTAATGCTACTCTGTTGGATACCTGGTTCAGTTATGTTACACTTATGAGTACGCTGTTGGATACCTGGTTCAGTTGTGATACACTTATGAGTACTCTGTTGGATGCCTGGTTCAGTTGTGTTACACTTATGAGCACTCTGTTGGATACCTGGTTCAGTTTTGTTACACTTATGAGTACTCTGTTGCATACCTGGTTCAGTTGTGTTACATTTATGAGTACTCTGTTGGGTACCTGGCTCACTAATGTTACATTTATGAGTACTCTGTTGGATACCTGGTTAAGTTGTGTTACATTTATGAGTACTCTGTTGGGTACCTGGCTCACTAATGTTACATTTATGAGTACTCTGTTGGGTACCTGGTTCAGTTATGTTACACTTATGAGTTCTCTGTTGGATACCTGGTTCAGTTATGCTACACTTACGAGTACTCTGTTGGATACCTGGTTCGGTTGTGTTACACTTATGAGTACTCTGTAGGATACCTGGTTCAGTTGTGTTACACGTATGAGTACTCTGTTGGATACCTGGTTCAGTTGTGTTACACTTATGAGTTCTCTGTTGGATACCTGGCTCAGTAATTGTTCAGTAATGTTACACTAATGAGTTAACTGTTGGAAGCTTGGCCTAGAATGAGTTATATTGACCACTGTTACATAGATAACTACTATTTGATATTGTTTCCCCGCAGCAGCAGCAAAAGCTTCAAGACCAGGTGCTACAGGAGCTGAATGAGCAGCTGCAGATGAACATGCTGCAGCAGTCGCAGCTGATGCAGCAGCAACAGCAGCCAGACAAGTCTAAGGTCGGGAAAAGCCAACTGCAACACCTTGCACTTCAGCAGCAGCAACTAGTCCAGCAAATACAGCAGATTCAGATCCAACAGCGTCAGTACCTCCTCGCCTGTCTTGTCCAGCCCTTCGGGGTCCCTCAGGGTAAGTAAAGTCCTTGTGCTTTGCCTTTAAGGGATACTCAGGGAGACTTTCTCCCCTTTGTCGAAGTCTGTGCAAATGTCCTTTGTCAAAAATTAAAACAAAAATAAATTTATTGCAAAACTCCAGTGATTGACAGAACCCTGCTGTATGCTACCCTAAGTGTATGCCTTCTAATACTTGTTGTATGTCCAACACTACCGACACCTTTTTGTATGCCTTATGATATGTAACCAGCCTCATGCTACGCCACTTTGAATATACTACGTATCATCTAATTGTTCTGCCCTTTGGAGCTAGTACATTGTAAGCTCTCTTGAATGCATGTCGTGTTAGGTCTCAAGTAAAGTTGAATTGATATATAAGTAATACTCCTACAGGCATGACAATTAAATTTTCCACACCAGATAAAAAACACTATTTGACATTTGTGCAGAGAGACCTGTGTTTTCATAACTTTATGTTAATAAAGTAGACAATTTACGTAGGAGCAGGTGCTTCACCATTTTTAGAATCCACATAGAGGTATTTTGATGCCTTTCAGAGCAGTTTTTCGCACATTCCGACATGACCTTTTCTCCACTGTCGTCATCAGATTAGCACATAATGCTCCAGTATTTGATACATGTGGATCACGATGACTATCTGAGAGTAACATTAGTGATAATTAATATTTTAATGAGATTAGTCCATTCACCTGTCTTCTTCAGAATGAAACAATCAAAAAAGGTTATGTCTCTTACTGAATGTTTTGCCTGACGCCAACAACCAGCATTTGAACAATAAGCTTATCAAATATGAATACCTACTTATGTGTTGATCCATGCATCGGAAAGTTTACATACAACTTAATGTCGTAGAAACAGACCACTTAAAACGTCATCTGGAACACCACTACAGACAATAATATATTAATTCTCTGAAAATTTCTCTGATCACTGCATGTTAGATTTACAGGTGAAATAAAAAGCTTGTTAGCAATAGTTTATGTAGGCGATACAAACACCTGAAAGAAAGTACAAAGACATTATACCTGTGTAATTACACCTGTTTACCTACTGATTGCTTAGGAAGCAAATTCGATCATGGTTTAGACAGAATGTGATTGGTCGAGCATGGTTATAGCCTAGGGATGGAAAAGATAATTAGGTGTCCGTTAACAGTCTTTTAGTTTTACTTTTGATGTGGTATACACTACATCAGTACCATAAAGCCCTTCCAATCTCCAAATTGCTCACTGTTTCAATGACCCTCCCAGTAAACCCCTTAAGCCTTCATTTTTAAATTCAAACTCTGCCCCTCTGCACCATCATTCCCTATCTGCTATCCCATCCTATTTTGCCCCCTTCCATATTCTACCACACTTTATATTCTCATCCTCAGCCCCCTTCCACACACCATATCCTAATCCTCAGCGCCCTCCCACACTCCATATCCTAATCCTCGGCCCCCTCCCACACTCCAAATTCTCATCCTCAGCCCCCTCCCACATTCCATATCCTAATCCTCAGCCCCCTCCAGCACTCCATATCCTAATCCTCAGCCCCCTCCCACATTCCATATCCTAATCCTCAGCCCCCTCCCACATTCCATATCC